GTGTGTGTGTGTGTGTGTGTGTGTGTGTGTGTGTGTGTGTGTGTGTGAGTGTGTACAGGGTAGATGCCTACCTGGGATGTGTAGATAAATTATGAGATCTTTTCTGTGGAAGGAAGGAAGATAGGAAATAAGCATTTATTAAATGCTAACCCTGCTATGTGCAGCTAGGTGGCTCAGTGGATCCAGCCTCAGACATTTTCTAGCTGTGTGACCTTGGGCAAGTCACTTAACCTCTGTCTGCCACTGGAAAAGGAAATGGCAAACCACTCTGGTATCTTTGACAAGAAAACACAATGGACAGAGATCCACGGGGTCACAAAGAATAAGACATGACTGAAACAGCTGAACAACAGCCCTGCTATGCATCAGGCACTGTGCCAAACGCTTTACAAATATTATGTAATTTAATCCTCACAACAACCCTGGAAAGTGGATATTATTATTATCCCTAATTTACAGTTGAGGAAACTGAGATGGGGTAAGTGACTAACACAGCTGTTAAGAATCTGAGGCTGGATTTGAACTCAGATCTTCTTGACTCCAGGCAACCATGTTTTACCCACTGCATCACCTAGGTGCCTCAAAGTGAGGCTTTATGGTGAAGGAAGAATTCTTTCTCTATATCCCAATAATGTTTGAGTGAAAAATAAGGCTTTTTCAAAGCTCCATCCTGGAGATCAGGCAAATTCATCTTCTTTACTTACCAAGGCTAAAGAAGCAGTGCAGTCATCCTTCCTAATTACATGGCAAAGCCCATCAGAGTAATTACCTGGGAGATAGCATCCCTGGCAGGAATTGGGGACTCAGGGTTAATTTTGCCTTCTCAATGGGAACTTTAGAGTGCAAATTAGTTTCCAACTAATTGCTCTGAGTGATTGGTAAGTTCATAGAGCAATTACTAAGGGCTTGGAGGTCATGGGTAATTGCTTTCCCACACATACTAATTGCTGAAGGAACATGGCCCCACAGCACTGCCGTTAGTGACTCTTTCCAATGACCACACGCTTCTGGTGGTGCCTGACTCAGAAAAGCCAATGTTTGTGACCAAGTCCAGGACTGGGTCAGGGCTGGGGAGTGATGGCTGGATCTTGAGCCTATTTGAGAGAGAGAAAATCTAAGGCACATAGTTGATGAGGCCAGATCCTCCACACTAGAGAAAAAAAAGGTACTGTGAGTAGAACTGATACCACTTTGGGAAATGGGGAGTTAAGTTTTGGACACATTGAGTTTGAGATAATGAAGGAAGATCTGAGTGGAGCTACCACGTCCTCTAGAGAGATGAAGAAGACAGGGCTGTACTGTGAGTTAAAGGTCAGGACTGAACTACAGATTCCTAAGTCATCCTCTTAGAGGGAAGAGTTGAAATCATGAGTGGACAAACAGAAGGAGCTTGGAGAGTGGGGAGGAGAGGATTGAGGACAGAGCCTTAGGGGACATTCTCATGTAGGCAGCCAGAGAAAGAAGAGGAACCAGCAAAGGAATGGTTAGGGATGCGGGACAAGATCATAGGATCATAGATTCAGAACTAAGAGGAACTCTGGGGACCATTTAGTCTAACTTCTATTTTATAGATGAGAAAACTGAGACCCAGAGAGGTTTCCTTGGCACAGTTAATGTTGCACAGATAGTAACCGGAAGAGCCAGGACTTGAACCGAGGTTCTCTGCCTCCAAAGTCAGTGCTCTTTCCATACACTATACTGCCTCTCTGGACCTTCATTTCCTTCTTTATAAAATGTGGGAGTTGGACATACATGATTTCTGAAGTCCTTTTCCATCTAAATCTATGTTTCTATGATCTGCTGTCCATTCTGATGGCAATGTTAAGAACTGCCTAGAACATTTCAGTGTCTTGAAAGCTAAATGAGGAGGTTCAAGAAGAAAGGGATCGTTAGTTCTTCAGAGAGGCCAAAGTGAAAAGAGGCTATATATGTGACCGGGACCCCGACTGGAAGGCCAGAGACTGCCTCCCTATTAAGCTATCGGTTCCCTAAGGCAAGGACTAGATTTTCCTTATTGGACTGAGAACTCCCCAAAGACAGAACCATATTTCCCCTTTCCCCTGAACCACCTCTGTCCCCAACCTTCTCCAGTGTCCACATGCAGGGTTTTGTAGGCAGAAGGTGCCACTCACGTCCTTTGTCACAGTGCTGAAGCAGACGAGGCTGGCCCCTCTCCGTTAAGACCCTCTTTCAGGAATGAGCAAAGTTTCCAGTCTCCTCTACTATCTTAGTCAAAAGAACCAAACTCAGACCACTGCCACCTTTTTTGTATAATTTTCTGCCTCTTTTCCTCAAGCTGATGCTTCAGGCTGCTAGTAAGTCAATCAGTAGACATTTATGAAACACCTACTACGTGCCAGTCACTGTGCTGAGCACTGGGATACAGTAGCAAAAGACAGTCCTTGGTCTTAAGGAGCTCACAATCTAATGGAGGAGATGACAAGCTATTACTGTCTACTGTGTATAGATAGGCTCTAATCAGGATAAACAGGAGATAATCTACAGAGAGAAAGAGCTAGCACTGTCTGCCTAGATTAATGACCTCCTTCCTTTCTCCTTTTGGGCTCATACACATGAAGGCTCATTTCCAGAACGTTTGCTCCAAGCACTGATCTCTTGCTTCCCTGAATTCCTACAGAACTTACAGTCTGTCTCACATAGCTCAGCACTTAATTATAGACTGTCTTGAATTGTTTGTAGTTTCAGGTGAGTAATCCTTGACGTTGGATACTATGGGTACTGAGCAGGGCAGGCTGGTGGCTAGAGAGAGCAGGCCTCCATAGAGGGAACCTTAGGTTGTTTTCTATCCAGCATCTCAGCTTTCTAAATGGACAACTGTGGGAGGGCCTGGGTCAGGGTCTCCTCTTCTTTCTTAAGGTAGAAGTGCATTGTCAGCCCAACCTGTAAGGCTGTCACTTTCAAGAGAATCCCTCCATCAAACAGGCCCGTGGAAAAATCACAAAGTCTTCTGTCTCGGTGTCTGGGGGAAGGTTATCTTTAACTACTCATAACCCCTCTCTCCTCTACCACCTCTGCCTGCTCCTGTTTAAAGACCCCTCCTGTTTGGTACAGATAGAGGAAGGGTCCTGATATGTCCATCAAACCATTTTCCCAGCTTTTTCTATTCTCTGTTCCTTGCCCCTAGGCAAATGGGACCTCACACTTCATGTTGACACCTCTTTTTCCTTCTTATTTATAGGCATCTTCACAACAATCAAATCCAGCATTTGGGTACCAACAGTTTTGAGGGACTGCACAATCTGGAGACACTGTAAGTGCTTGGGCAGAGACTGGGCTCCAGCCCATGTTGGGGGGAGGAGGAGAGAGTGGGGAAAGTGAGGAGCAGAGGTGAACTGAGTCCATTCATGGGCTCCATTCATGAGCCCAAAAGCTTCCCAACATCTTTGCCATTACTATCTCTGGGAGGCCACTGGGAATAAGGAATTGGTTCCATTTCCAGATAGCATGGCAGGAGGGGACTGGAAGATGGTACACAAGGGTTATTCCCGGTTCCAGCAGAAGCCAACTGAAATAATGGAAACTATTTCTACCAAAGAAAGGGAGTGGTAGGGAGAAGCTACAGGAATTGGGATTATCTGTCTGGAGAGAATGGAGGGAGAGACCAGTCAACAATATAGTTTTCCAGCCTGGGAAGAGTTGTTGGACTCAGCATGGCTGCTGGTGGTGGGGGAGGAATAACCATGCTGATGCTAAGAGAAAAGATAAAGTGCTGAGTGAAAGATGGCCCATTCAGTGCTATAAAAAGGGCCTGAGCTGTTGACTCTTAAAATAACTATATTATTTGCACATCATCTGCATGGAATTCATTTAAGGTCAAAATAAACCCCGATCTTCCCATCCTTTCTTCTGGGTGTCTGCCAACCCCATGGAACCAGGCTGGGCTTGTCATACTTAAAAGAAGTGGTTGGGTTTCTTGGAGCAGCTCCCCCACCTCATCTGGGTCTCTCATTTGTTCCCATGTGGGAGTCTGCATACCACCCCACAACTAGAGATCTCCTGGTAGAAAGCGGGGAAGAGGAGAGAGCCCCAGGTTCCCCCCACACTGAGTGAGTGTCCTAACGCTGGAGCCCAAATGAGAGACTCAAAACAATAGTCATTCCTTCAACCTAGAGTGGTGGAGGTCAGCATCCTCCACTTAAGATATAAAGTTGAGTTCCTCTCCCCATTGATACTTGTGAAATGAAGGTTTCAGGGATTTGAAACAGCAAAGGCTGAAAGACAAGCTTCAAAAAGTCAGAGAAGGTTTATTTTGACCAGGTCTGTTCTGTACTTCATCTATATCTAGGGTGATAGGGAAAAGAAGAAGTAGGAGGATGAGACCAAATTCCCAGTGTCCCTTTCCTGCGGTTGGAACAAGCCTTGGGCATGGAAACCCAGGAGAGTAAAGACGGCGTTGGAGTCATAAGACCTTAGTCACAATTCCAGTGTTGCTCTTTGCTTACAAATGTGACTTTAAAGAATTCACTCAATTTCTCCAGGCCTCAGCATCCTAATCTGGAAAGTGAGGGGAATGTGTTCCCTGACCTCCAAGGTCCTTTCCACCTAGAAATCCTGAGCCCTAGGAAGCTCAGTCCGAAGCTGGAGAGGCAGAAGAAGTTGCACCTATGTCTCCTTCCATCCCAGAGCCTTAGGACTGAGTGGGCCCAGGGCAGCAGAGGAAAATCAGGCAAGGGTCAGGGGAACAGCCTCGGAGCTCTTCATTTCCTGGGGGACCTTGCCAAAGTTCTTGGGTTTCCATTTCCTCGGCAGTCCAGTAGTCACCCTGTCTCTCAAAACAGAATTCCTTAGAATAAAGTGTTTAGGGACCACTTGACATTGGACAAGTAGGAAGGATCCCAATCCCAATTTCTCTGCTGTCCTGAGGATGGGGGTGGGGAGGGGGGGAGGGGAAAGAGGAGGGCCATATAAGGATATATTGGATAAGGGACTGCAACTTCAGAAAGCCACCCACAGCAGCTGTTTCTTAACATCTGGGGCCCACTGCCTATTCTCTCCCAATTAGCCTCTAGATTGCTGCTCCTAGTTGGTTAGTGCTAGTTTAATTACAGAGCAATCATCTCACTATTCCTTTCATCTGGGGCTCTCGGATGAGTCCCCTCTCCACCCCTATTACCTTCCCAAAGCTCAAGTACTGAACCCACTTTTCAGATGGGTAAGTAGAGGCTCCATGAGGGAAATGGTGTTCTCCCCCACCCCTGATCCTGAACCTCATCATTTCTTCCACCCTTCCTCTAAATCTTTCAATCCATCACTCTCACTCTACCCTCCCCACCTCCCCACCCCAACCCACACTGACTTAAGGAGCCAATCTCTCTCCTAGCTTTTGAGGCTTCAGTGCTTTTGATCTCTAAGAAAAAAGGCAAAGTTTGCTCCTTTTTCCAGGTTGCTTGAGGCATTTGCTGGGGCCCCCAGCAACCCTAGCTTATGGGGAAAGGGAGCAGAAACAATGTTCACACTTTTTAATGGTTGCCCAATTACCTCAATTCTCTCTCCCTCCCCACCTCTGTCTCTCTGTCTGTCTCTTGTCTCTCCCTCCCTCCCTTCTCTCCCTCTCTCTTTCCTTATCCCTCTATTTCTCCTCTCCCCTTCTCTCCTTCCCTCCCTCTGTCCCTTTTTCTCTCTTTTCTCTCTTTCCCTCTCTTCTTGCCTCCCTCCCTTGTCTCCCTCTCTCTTTCCTTCTCCATTTCTCCTTCTCTCTCCCTCCCTCCCCCCCGTCTGTCTGTCTGTCTGTCTCTGTCTCTGTCTCTCCCTCCCTTCTTTCCCTCTCTCTTTCCTTATCCCTCTATTTCTCCTCTCTCCTCTCCCTCCCTCTCTCCCCTTTTCTCTCTTTTCTCTCTTTTCCTCTCTTCTTGCCTCCCTCCCTTCTCTCCCTCTCTCTTTCCCTCTCTCCATTTCTCCTTCTCTCTTCCTTCCTCCCTTTCTCTTTCTCTCTATTTCTTTCTCACTTTCTCTCCTCTCCCCCTGCCTTCAGTTATCCCTCCTGAAACCTTTCATGTGAGCACTTCTTTGCTTCTCCTCTGGACCAGGCTCTAACATCTCTACCACTCACACATCTCTCACCCCAACTCCAAGAGGGGTGGATCAAACCCCTGAGGCCCAAGCTGCGGTTTGGCTTCCCTTCCAGTCTCCTCCTCGGAGCCAGGGAAGGCACCCACCGGCTATTCCACCTCAGGGTGGGGTGGAGGAGGCTGGAAGGGGTCCTGTGCTTATGCACACACCCCTCACATGCATACATACACTCAACCACCACCCTCCTCCACAAACCATACACGCCCAACACACACAGACTCCCAGAAACACATACCACACACATCCCACAGACACATGCATACCACATACCGCTCTATTCAAAGGACACCCACGTATAACACCATGCGTACAACATAGACACATATGCCCACCCCCACCCACCTTCCCACTGGGGTTAAGCACACTAATGTTTCTTCTGTTCCTCTGACAATAGAAACGGCATTGATTCCCCAAAGTATCTTAGACAGGAATACAATTCTCCACTTAAGGATATTGACCCTAGAGAGAAAGTCCTGGTGGACTTCCTAGCTATGGGGCTGGGGGATGAGCAATCATTTCTCCCCAGAATCATTCCAGTCCGTCCCAAGAAATCTGTGCCAATCATTGGCCCAGGGGAAAATTTAACCTCCTCTCTTAGCCTGAAACAGGGTTGGGACCTGCTCAATTTGAGAAATGACCCTAGAAAGGTGTGATCAGACAGAAAACAGGACTTTCCTCTGAAGGGAGGCGAGCTCAAGGACATAGCTGTGAGATGGTAAGCTCCATGAGGGCAGGTACCATACTTAATCTAAGTTTTTTTTTTAAATCTGTCTCAGCCTCTACCCTGCACATAGTTCTACACACAGTAGATGATTAATAATTGTCAGATTCAAAAATTGCCACATTTTTGAAAGGGAACCAAAAAAAAATCACTAAATGTTATCTCCCCCTCTTCTATCCCCTCCTGGATAGCCCTTAGAAGGACATCCACCTCCATTTCTTCTGGAGAGGGGCAGGGTTATAGAGAAGGTCCTCCAGAAGACCAATGAGAAAAACAGGAGATGGACAGAGGAGCTAGCAGTGAGGAGGCAAAAGGATGCCAGTCTGGCTCTGTTCCTGACAAAAGCAGAAGACAATGCTAATTGCAGCTGTTTGTAACTTCCTCTCACTTTTGACACTTTGGGAAAGCAGCTAGCTCATCCACAAGATTTAAGCTTGTAGGCAAAGAACATAGAATCATATAGATCTGTGGGAAGGAATCCTAAGAGGTCAATTTTTATTTCAAGGCCTCAAGGCAGACAAAATTAATAATCACGATAGCATTTATGAGTATACATGTATAATCTATGTCAAAATACATATCATCTTAGGGAGGGGGGAAAAGGAGAGGCAGAGAGAGAATTTGGAACTCGAAATATTTTTAAAATGAGCTTTAAAATTGTCTATGTATAATTGGGCAATATAAAATAAATATTATTAAAAATAATAATAGCATTTATATAGCACCTGCTATGTACTAGGCATGGTGCTAAGCTCTTTATAAATTTTAATCCTCATTTGATCCTCATATCAACCCTGGAAATAGGTGCTATTATGATCCCCATTTTATAGCTGAGGAAAGAGAAGCAGACAGAGGTTAAATGACTTGACTAGGGTCACACATCCTGAAGTAGCGGGGGCCGGATTTGAATTCAGGTCTTCCCGACTCCAAGCCCTGACCCCACTGAGCAGTCTAGCTGCCTCTAGATGAGAAAATTGAGACCTATACATGATAAATGACTTGTTCTAGGTTACACAGTTAATCAGTGGTGGAATGGAGAATAAAAACCTGATTTCCTGCCTTTTAATATTTATCAATTATTACATTTTATATTTAATTGTATTTGTGCTATATATTTTTACCTATGTTTTCCTACCTTATTGGAATGTAAGCTCATCAGATACAGGGATTGTTTAATTCTTTGTACTTGTGTCCCTAGCACCTAGCACAGTGGTTGGCATATAGCCGATGGTCAATTAATATTCATTGATTGATTGATTATTGGTAAGTCTAATGTTTTTTCTCCCAATGTGACATCTGTGGCTTTCTTGCCTATATGCACTTATTATGTGATATTATACATGGGAGTCATCTGTGTTTGTGTCTTATCTACCTACTTGACTTTAACTCCCAGAGTGTAGGGTTCATATTTTATCTAAACCTTCCCCAACACCTAGCACAGTGCTCTGCGTACAACAAGT